TCCCAAAGCATTTTGCAAGATAAAACCATATTTGGTTTTGGTTTGTTTCTGTTTCAAACACTACTAAATTAAACATATAAACTAGCAAAGCCTCATAAAGCAGGCCACAATCAACTACAAATGTCAATTATATAAATGCAAATACAATTATTCTGGTACTATAAGCTTCTCTGTATGACTAGACCTTATTAAGCACTGTACTAGCAACATAGCAAGCACTGGGGAAACCTTCATTTTCTTGGTGATCTAACTCCCTGCTGATGAAATCTCCCAAGTCTGGTAACAAGATAAACAACACCAGGGGCCTGGGCCCAGCTCTTGAAGGAGACCTAAACGTAGAGTTTCACAGACCTCTTGATTTTCACCTGTCTGGACCAGTTGACTCCAGAAGGAGGTTTGAATGGTTAAAATCCACATAAATTATTGGATCAGATGAGTTTTCCTCCTCTGGGCAACCCTAGGGAGACACTGGTCAAGCTGGGAGATAGAAAATTGAGCAGAACCAACATCAGGCATGTGATTCTAAGAACAAACTTGTTCCCAGGCAAGCCTGCCCAACCCATGGCCCACGAACTACATAAGGCCCAACACAAATTCACAAACTTCTTAAAACATTGTGAATTTTTTTTGGCCATTTTTTTAGTTCATCTATAATTAGTGTTAGTGTATTTTATGTGTGGCACAAGATAATAATTCTTCCAACATGGCCCAGGGACGCCAAAAGACTGGACACTCCTGTCCTAGAATCTTCAATTTGGGTCTGCCAGAGAGGTTAAAAAAAAAAAAAAAAATCAACTTTTCAAAAAGCCTATAATTTTATTTTTATTTTATTTTTTACTAGATATGGGGTCTTGCTATATTAACCCAGGCTGGTCTCAAACTCTTGGCCTCAAGAAATCGTCTCATCTCAGCCTCCCAAAATGCTGGAATTACAGGCATGAGGAACCACACCCAGCCAGCCTACCATTTTAAAACCTATGGCATGTAAGGAACAAAAGAGAAAACCTTAGGGTAACAACTATTTCCATAACTTCTTCAAAAATTACATCTGAATATCTTCTTGAATATTTAATTATAAAAGAATCATTATAATTTCAGGTACCTAAATAAAATCAAGATGACTATGTCTACAAGTGGTAGGAAATATACAATCTAAGTGATTCCTAGTTCTCTACATACTATATACTCAGAACTACCACAGCATTTCTGTTATATGATTCACATATTTTATTACCACTGTTTCTTCGGTTGAAACCAATCATGTCCATAGAAAATCGGGATAAAATTTAAAAATAACTAGAAGTATAACAACAAATTTTTATTTGAATTAACTACACTCACTTTCTTCATTTATATCACAGCAACTGATCATTTGTATTAAGGAAAAGGATCTTAAAAATATGGATGAGACACAAGACAAATCAATAATATTACAACCAGCTTTCTTTTTCTTTTTTTTTTTTTTTGAGACGGAGTTTCGCTCTTGTTACCCAGGCTGGAGTGCAATGGCACGATCTTGGCTCACCGCAACCTCCGCCTCCTGGGTTCAGGCAATTCTCCTGCCTCAGCCGGGACTACAGGCACGCGCCACCATGCCCAGCTAATTTTTTGTATTTTTAGTAGAGACGGGGTTTCACCATGTTGACCAGGATGGTCTCGATCTCTTGACCTCGTGATCCACCCGCCTCAGCCTCCCAAAGTGCTGGGATTACAGGCGTGAGCCCGGTTGCTTTCTTTTTTTTTTGTGATGGAGTCTCACTCTGTCACCCATGCTGGACCAGTGCAGTGGCGTGATCTCAGCTCACAGCAACCTCTGCCTCCCAGGTTCAAGTGATTCTCCTGCCTCAGCCTCCCGAGTAGCTGGGATTACAGGCATCCGCCACCATGCCTGGCTAATTTTTGTATTTTTGGTAGACAGAGGGTTTCACCATATTGGCCAGGCTGGTCTCGAACTCCTGGCCATCAAGTGATCTTCACACCTCAGCCTCCCAAAGTGCTGGGATTACAGGCATAAGTCACCGCACCCAGCCTAAAATCAGCGTTCTAATGTTAGCTAAACTAACAGAGGCCAAGCATGGTGGTTCAAGCCTGTAATCCCAGAACTTTGGGAGGCTGAGGCAGGTAGATCACAAGGTCAGGAGATCAAGACCATCCTGGCCATGGTGAAACCCTGTCTCTACTAAAATGTAAAAAATTAGCCAGGCGTGGTGGCAGGCACCCTGTAGTCCCAGCTACTTAGAAGGCTGAGGCAGAGGAATCGCTTGAACCCGAGAGATGGAGGTTGCAGGGAACTGAGATTGTACCACTGCACTCCAGCCTGGTGACGGATCAAGACTCCATCTCAAAAACAAAACAAAACAAAAACTACTAACGGATTAGTAACATAACATTAGCTTATGAAAGCTGAGTGCAGTGGCTCAAGCATGTAATCCTAGCACTTTAGGCGGAGGTGGGCAGATCTCTTGAGCCCAGGAGTTCAAGACTAGCCTGGGTAACATAGGGAGACCTAGTCTCTACAAAAATAAAACATTAAGGCTGGCACAGTGGCTCACACCTGTAATCCCAGAACTTTGGAAGGCCAAGGTGGGTGGATTACCTGAGGTCAGGAGTTCGAGACCATCCTGGCCAACATGGCGAAACCCCATCTCTACTAAAAATGGAAAAATTAGCTGAGTGTGGAGGCACAGGCCTGTAAGCTACTAGGGAGGCTGAGGCAGGAGAATCGCTTCAATCTGGGAGAAGGAGGTTGCAGTGAGCCGAGATTGCGTCACTGCACTCCAGCCTGGATGATAGAGAAAACTTTCATATGCAGATATAGGTTTGTGGACACACATTTTTAATAAAGAACACACACTTAAACTGAATCATTCTAAAATCTTTTTTAACTTAATAAATCTTAACCATGTTTCCATAGCAGTGGAAGTATTACATTTTGAATAACTGAGACTTAGTCTCACTCTGTCTCCCAGGCTGGAGTGAGTGGCACAATCTCAGCTCATTGCAACCTCTGCCTCCCAGGTTCAAGCGATTATCCTGCCTCAGCCTCCTGAGTAGCTGGGATTACAGGTGCCCAACACCATGCCCAGCTAATTTCTGTATTTTTAGTAGAGACATGGTTTCACCATGTTGGCCAGGGTGGTCTCGAACTCCTGACCTCAGGTGATCTGCCCTCCTCAGCCTCCCAAAGTGCTGGGATTACAGGCGTGAGACACCGTGCCTGGCCTCATTATATGTTAACACTTTTTATTCTAGTCCATTTTTAACACAGTTCAGATGAAGCTGGTATAACTATTGCTTGCAAAAGTCTGTAACAAATCTAATCAAGGGCATTATTATGGCAGTAAATACCAGCTTTTTTTCACCCTCAACAATTCAGATTCCAAAGTGTTTTATTCAAGTAAAATGCATTTTAATTCGTATATCATATTTATGGGAGAGAGGGGAGAAAAGTCATAAAATGTTGCAACATTAAAATGGTTAGAAATCATCACAGAAGTCATCCAGAATAAGTAATATTGCCGTCTTCTAATTTGCTGACTTTGCTACCCGAAACACATTTTTAAAAAATCTGGCAAGAGGGAGGTTTGAAACAACCTTCTTTCTTTTTGCTTTTGTTTTATTGAGACAGAGTTTCACTCCTGTTGTCCAGTGGCGCGATCTCGGCTCACTGCAACCCCTGCTTCCCAGCCTCAAGCGAATCTCCTGCCTCAGCCTCAGCCTCAGCCTCCTGAGCAGCAGGGATTACAGGCATGCGCCACCACGCCCGGCTAATTTTTGTAGTTTTAGAACAGACGGACTTTCACCGCATTGGCCAGGCTAGTCTTGAACTCCTAACCTTACGTGATCCGCCCGCCTCGGCCTACAAAGTGCTGGGATTATAGAAACAACTTTCAAATAGTTTCTAAATCAGTGCTTTGGTCAGATTTTACAATTTTTGAATCTCAAAGTCTAATATTACCTGTATTCTGAGACTAAGAGGAAAAGGGGGCTGGGGGCGGGGTAACCAACACTAATTAACTTCCCCTAAGGTCAGTGGAATTAACACTGCCGGGCCCTAGGTCCCCAAACCACCCAATGGAACATGCTGGTCTCCGCGGGCCTGTACCTGGTCCAAACCACCAGTATGTAGAACAAAAAGTGAACGATGCGCTGCCAATCTGGACCCCCTTCCCTAGAAAAAATAAACAAAAAACCCAACAAACACAGCGAAAGGGCTGAGGCCCACACTCCATGACAGCACTTCCTTTTTTTTTAAGTGAACCCGTTTCCTGCTTCTCGTTTGGTATTATCTTCAACTATACAGGAAGAGGAAGGCCTCTAGGTGTTTCTCCTTTTTACACACCGGCGGCCCTGGGGAAAACGGCACTTCTCGGAACACACAAACCGAGCCTTTTACCCCTCCGGCCGCTTTAGTCTTTTACCCCTCGGTCCGCTTTAGCCCAATTGCCCCGCTCAAGCGCGGAGCCGGTCCCTGCCGAGCGGTCAGTAGGCTCCGCGTCCAGTGTCGATCTCGTTAGCCGCCCCGACCCAGAAGGCTGCGGGGTGGCAGGCTAAAGGGGTGGCAAGCTAAGGGGAGACCAGGGCACGGCCGGCTCGACCTCCTGCCCGCGAAGGTGGGAGGCACCGCCCCGCGCCCCTTAGCCCCTAGGGCCTGGAGGTGCAGCCCAGGGGGCCGAGGGCCCGCGCGCCCGCTGCACGTCCCCGCCTGCGCCTGTGGCCGCCAAGGCCTCCTCGCCCGGCGCTTACCCCGGTGCCGTTGTCGCACACCACCACCTTCCTGCCCTGGCTGTCCATCGTCCGCCCGGGTGAGAGCCGCTGTCGCCGCACAACCTACAGCCGCCGCGCCCGGCCGTTTTCTTTTCTTTCTCCTCCCTCTTCGCGGCCCCTCCTTCGGCCCAACTTTTTTCCCCCAACAGGAAGTCGCCGCCCGGCTCCGCCCGTCATTTAGCTGAATATCTGAGCGGAAAGTGTGGGACGGGCTGGAAGCGCGACTGGCAGCGGTGAGCTCCAATAAAAAATGGAGAAGCGTCGAGGCGCCTCCCGCAACTCCGCTTCCGGCTCGGCTGTCAAGGTTGCTTCCCACCCAGGTTCTTCCTCGCTGCTTCTAGTTCCCGGCGCTTTGCCGGGCATTAATGGCGGCCAACGTTATCGCGGGTCCTGCGGCTTTCTCCCTAAAGTGTTACAGAAACTAAGGGCGCCGCTTAAGGAACTGCAGAAGACGCAGGCAGGTGAAGGACACTGGTTCTGCAGCGACGTGGAATGTAGCGGAGAAGCTGGCGGGGAGGACAGGGAGCAGGCCTGGGAGGTTCTGGCCGACCCCACCATTGAACAGGGCTTGGTGTATCATTGCTTCTAGGCCTTTTCAGCGGACAGAACTGGGATGCATACACACACGCTTATTTGAAATCATGCGTTTGTTCCATACTCCAATTTCAGCCCACTCCTTTGCCCAAGTTGCTCTATGGTCAAGTGAGAGAAAGCAGGTGCCTGCATTTCCAACCTCCTGGCTCACTGCCTCCTTCTTCCAGTAGTCCCATGTCTCTTCACACCTCTTCAGTACATGTACATCTGTGAACCCAGAGCCTTGGCTTTGAAATCAGACAACTCCAGTTTCAAACGTGGCGCTGCCACTCACGAGTTTTGTAATTTTGGCATACCCCTGTCTGTGCATGGTGATAACTTCTATCTCCATGGGTGTGGTGAGAATAAGAGTCTATGAATAGAAGAAATGTTCATTCAGTGGTAGCTATTTCTTACTAATTCTATTCTTTTGAACCTATGATTCTATCTACGATGCCTCATTTTTTTTCCTTTTTAAAAATCGGTTGGCAAAGTTGTGCTCTGAGACCCAGCTTGTCACATCTCTGATGACAGCTGATATCCTCAGGATGTTCCTTACTCCCTTTCCTCGCTATTATTTTACTATGAACATATGAATAACATTATTGTGCTTATTACATGCAACAAATATTTATCGGATGAATGACATTAAAATTCACATTTAAAATGCCATCCTTTTTGAGAGCTGAGAACTAGAACTTTGCCTTCAACATGGCTGTACATGTTCAACAATAGAATAAAACAGGAATCGTGAACCCCCCCAATAGCTGCCTCTCAGTTTTCACCGTTCTCTTATTAGACCAGTGATTTTCAAACCTATCTAAAGGCATAGAGTGCTTTATTCAAATTTAATCTTATATGAAACGCCTAATACATGGATAAATGTAAACAGATAAATAAAGCTGCCATTGTTGCAATTGGAAATTTGAGAGATTAGAATAGGTAGGAGGTCTCAGGAGAACATTTCTTCCCTTTACCTGCTTTAACAGTCAGAGAAGTACCTCAGTCTGCGGAAAAATTTATTTGTTCATAAATTCCTTGAGCATAAAATCCATATCTTACTTTCGTGGCTCCAATGCTAGTGCTGTGCAGTTTTCTTGAAAGTACATTTTATTGGTCTCAGCAAATTGAACTCAAGCATTTCTGTGTTCTTTTACTTTTCCTCTTTGTGGAATTAAATGGATTGCTAATTTTTATTTTGAAAGAAAGAATGTGAGGCTGGGTAAGATGGCTCACGCCTGTAACCAGCACTTTGGGAGGCCGAGGTGGGCAGATCTACTGAGGTCAGGAGTTTCAGACCACCCTGGCCAACATGGCAAAACCCCATCTCTACTAAAAATATAAAACTCGGCCAGCTGGGTGTGATGGCATGTGCCTGTAATCCCAGCTACTCAGGAAGCTGAAGCAAGAGAATCTCTTGAACCCGGGAAGGAGAGGTTGCAGTGAACCGAGATCATGCCCCTGCACTCCAGCCTGAGCAACAGATCCAGACTCCATATCAAAAACAAAAGAAAAAAAAATTGGCAAGTTTGGTCCTAAAATTTATGTGAAATGAAAAGGAGGCAGAATAAAGGGATTTTGAAACAGAAAAAGATGGAAAACTTCCATATCTGATTTCAAAACTTATTATAAAGCTACAGTGATGAAGACTGTAATATTGGCATAGAGGCAGATATATATCGATCAGTGGAACCAAATAGGTAGTACAGAAATAAACCTTTACATTATGGTCAGTTGATTTTCAACAATGGTGCCAAAACAATCCATGGGGAAAGGGTAATCTTTTCAACGAATGGTGTGGGAAGGGAAAGAAAAGAACTTTGATCCTTACGTCACATCACACACAAAAATTGATTTAAGTGGATCATAGACCTAAATATAAAAGCTAAAACTATAAATTTCAGAAAAAAAGGAGGAAAATCTTTTGATATTAAGCAAAGAATGCTTAGACATGACACTAAGATAATGATCTATAAAAGAAAAAATTGATAATTGACATAATAGAAATTTTTTTTTTGCAAAAGTTTATTCTTAAATGTACAACAGCTCCAAGACAATACTTAATTCCAGCTATAGGTGGCAAAAGACGTTATGGCAGGGAATACAGATGTTTAAATACGGTTGAAATAAAGGGTCACCATCTCCTTAGGTACAAGGAACAGTTTACTTTTTGCCAGATTTCTTTTCTTTTCTTTTTTTTTTTTTTGGAGACGGAGTCTTGCTCTGTCGCCCAGGCTGGAGTACAGTGGCACAATCTTGGCTCACTGCAACCTCTGTCTCCTGGGTTCAAGCGATTCTCCCACCTCAGCCTCCCAAGTAGCTGGGATTACAGGCCGCCCAGCTAATTTTTTGTATTTTAGTAGAGATGGGGTTTCACTGTGTTGCCCAGGCTGATCTTGAACTCCGGATCCGCCCGCCTTGGCCTCCCAAAGTGCTGAGATTACAGGCGTGAGCCACTGCAACCAGCCTTGCCAGAGTTCTTAATTCTACCTGTGGTCAGGGGGCCCCTTTCCCTCGGCCTCCTCTTTTAATTCCTCCAGTTTCTTCTGCTACTTTTTTTGTTTCTGCTTGAAGCTCTTATCTTCCTTGTCCATCTCCTTGGCCTGCTTCTTGGACTGTTTCAGGGGCTTCTTCTTGGTTACACAACCATAAAAATTTACTAAAAATCATCAAACTGCATGCTTGTAATAGGTAAATTTTGAGATGTGTAAATTTCGTGTTGTAACTTCAATAAGGCTTAAAAGAATTTAAGTTACCTGTCCAAATTTACCTATCATGTAGCAAAAACAGGATTAGACACAGGTGTGCCTGGCTACAAAGCCTGAGCTCTGTTTACCCAGAGTTTTGGAAACTCCAGATCGATCATGAAAACCTAAGTCATTCCTAACCTGAGTCATCCTACTCAGGAATGACTTCTTTTTTTTTGAGACTAAGTCTCACTCTGTTACTCAAGATGGAGTGCAGTGGTGCAATTTCAGCTCACTGCAACCTCCACTTCCTGGGTTCAAGCGATTCTTCTGCCTCAGCCTCCTGAATAGCTGGGACTATAGACACACACCACCATGCCCAGCTAATTTTTGTTTGTTGCTTGTTTTTGAGACAGAGTCTGGCTGTTGCTGAGGCTGGAGTCCAGTGGCACATTCTCAGCTCACTGCAACCTCTACCTCCCAGGTTCAAGGGATTCTCCTGCCTCAGCTTCCCAAGTAGCTGGGCCTACATGAGCATGCCACCACACCCGGCTAATTTTTTGTATTTTCAGTAGAGATGGGGTTTCACCATGTTAGCCAGGATGTTCTCAATCTCCTGGCCTCATGATCTGCCCACCTCAGCTCCCCTCAGTGCTGGGATTACAGGCGTGAGCCACTGCGCCTGGCCTAGGAATGACTTTTTTATTATAATTGTGTTATTTTTAATTGTATTGTATTTAAAAGTAATAGAGATGGTGGTTGGGCACGGTGGCTCATACCTGTAATGCCAACACTTGGGGAGGCAGAGGCAGGCGGATCACTTGAGGCCAGGAGTTCAATACCAGTCTGGCCAACATGGCAAAACCCTGTCTCTACTAAAAATACAAAAATTAGCTGAGTGACCTGGGAAGCAGAGGTTGTAGTGAGCCTAAGAAAGAAAGAAAGAAAGAAGGGAGAGAGATAGAGAAAGAGAGAAAGAAAGACAGGAAGGAAGGAATGAAGGAAGGGAGGGAGGGAGGGAAAGAAAGAAAGAGAGGTAAAGTCTTGCTATGTTAACCTGGCTGGTCTCCACCTGCTGACCTCAAATGATCCTCCCATCTCATTGGGATCCTCCCTCCCAATCCTAATCCTAACAGGTGTGAGCCACTGTGCCTAGCCAGGAATGACTTTTTTGGAGGGATTCTATCATCTCACTTGGACCTGGGATTACAGGCCTGAGCCAACGCCCCCAGCCTAAGAACAATACAATTATTATTTTCTAGCTATTTTGAAATATACAATAAAATATTGTCAACTATAATTTCCCTATTATATTTTAAAATACTAGAACTTCTATCTAGCTGTATTTTTGTAAAATTAACCAATTTCTCTTTGTCATCGCCCTCCCCAGTTTCCCTTCCCTGCCTCTGATAACCACAATTCTACTCTCTATCTCCAGGAGATCTACTTTTTTGCCTCCCACATATGAGTGAGAACATGTAATATTTGTCTTTCTGTCTCTGGTTTATTTCACTTAGCATAATTCCTCCAGTTTCATCTGTGTTGTTGCACATGACAGGATCTCATTCTTTTTTTATGGCTGAATAGTACTCTATTGTGTGTGTGTACTGCATTTTCTTTATCCATTCATCCATTGATGGACACTTAAGCTGATCCTGTATCTTGGCTATTGTGAATAGTGCTGCCGTAAACATGGGAGTGCAGATATCTCTTCAATACACTGATTTCCTTTCTTTGGGATGTATACCTAGCAGTGGGGATTGCTGGATCTGATGGTAGTTCTACAGATAAAGACACTTTTTTTTTTTTTTTTTTAAGACAGAGTTTTGCTCTTGTTACCCAGGCTGGAGTGCAATGGCGCGATCTCGGCTCACCGCAACCTCCACCTCCTGGGTTCAGGCAATTCTGCCTCAGCCTCCTGAGTAGCTGGGATTACAGACACGTGCCACCATGCCCAGCTAATTTTTTGTAGTTTTAGTAGAGACGGGGTTTCACCATGTTGACCAGGATGGTCTCAATCTCTTGAGCTTGTGATCCACCCGCCTCGGCCTCCCAAAGTGCTGGGATTACAGGCTTGACAGATAAAGACACTTTTAAAACAATTACAATACCTGCCAGATGTGGTGGCTGATGCCTGTAATCCTAGCACTTTGGGAGGCCAAGGCAGGTGGGTCGCCTGAGGTCAGGAGTATGAGACCAACCTGGCCAACATGGAGAAACTCCATCTCTACTAAAAATACAAAAATTAGCTGGGTGTAGTGGTATGTAATCCCAGCTACTTGGGAGGCTGAGGCAGGAGAATTGCTTGAACCAGGTGGCAGAGGTTGTAGTGAGCAAGATCGAGCCACGGCACTCCAGTCTGGGTGACAGAGTGAGACTTTGTCTTAAAAAATAAGTAAATAAATAATGAAATAATAAAACAATTACAATGCCTTTATTATAACTAACAAAATTAATAGTAATTTCTTATTGGCTAATTCTCAACCCATAGCCAGTTTTTCCTAATTGTCTCAAAAATGTTCTAAACAGGTTCACAGATTATATTAGTTGATATGTCTGTTTTGTTTTATTTTATTTTAGAGATGGAGTCTTCCTCTGTTGCCCAGGCTGGAGTGCAGTGTCATGATCTTGGCTCACTGCAATCTCCACTTCCCAGGTTCAAGCTATTCTCCTGCCTCAGCCTCCCCAGCAACTGGGACTACAGGTGCGTGCCTCCACAGTTGCCTAATTTTTGTATTTTTAGTAGAAACGGGGTTTCACCATGTTGACCAGGCTGGTCAACATAGGTCAGCTCAAACTTCTGACCACAGGTGATCCTCCTGCCTTGGCTTCCCAAAGTGCTGGGATTATAGGCATGAGCCACTGCTCCCAGCTGATATGTCTATTTTAGTTTATAAAATGGTGTGGCCACTTTGGAAAGCAGTCTGGCAGTTCCCCAAAAGGTTTAACATAGAGTTACCATATGAGTCAAGAATTTTAGTCCTAGGTATATACCCAAGAGAAATGAAAAAAGTTGTTTTTTTAAAAATCGTATTCTAAACAAGGTCCACAAATTGCATGTGTTTGATATGTCTGTTTTAGTTTATAACACTTTCTTCTCTCTGTGTGTCTTTCTTGGGACAGGGTCTCTGTTGTTTGGACTGGAGTGCAGTGGCATGATCATAACTCACTGTAATCTTGAACTCCTAGACTCAAGCAATCCTCCTGCCTCAGCCTCCTGAATAGCTGGGACTACAGGCACGCACCACCATGCCCAGCTAATTTTTTGTATTCTTAGTAGAGATAGGGTTTCACCGTGTTAGCTAGGATGGTTTTGATCTCTTGACCTCATGATCCACCAGCCGTGGCCTCCCAAAGTGCTGAAATTATAGGATTATAGTCGTGAATCACTGTGCCCAGCCTTTTCTTTTTTGAGATGGAGTCTTGCTCTATTGGC